TGCAAGATTACTGTTATTTACAGCGAAACAAGATACTAGCGAATACATGCCGGCACCCATAATAACTTTTACTTCGACCACATCCACCACAAGTGAATCCATGCCGGCACCCAGAATAGCGCTCTCACTTCGACCACATCCACAACCACCAAAACATTGCAATACACAGCACATTCTGATGAGCGGGCATTGGCGCTGGCAAATAGAGGGGGGGGGGGCGTAATTTTAGGAAACTCCCCTGTGGTTTGTATATAGGTTCTGAGCCTCGCATAGATGCTGGTAGAGGGGCTCCTGACAAAATGAGCCGCAGCGAAGGAGTGATGGAATCGATCCTTAGCTATATAATTACCATTATGTAGGGGTTGTATAAGGATTATAGGATATATATATATATATAGGGGTTGTATAGGGATTATAGGGTATATACTGGGGTTATATAAGGATTATGGGGTATATATTGGGGTTATGTAGGGGATAATGAAAAAGAAGCTGGAAACTACTATTTAGGCTTTAGGTTTCCTAATTACATGGTAGTTCCCATTTTCTTGTCCATCGTTCATTCCTTGCTAAGCAGGGTTAGGAAGATTGCATTGTCAGAAGGGCCTGGAACGGGATGCAACCTGTAATGCTTGCCCCTTGCAGCTAAACAATAAACACGGTCCCACAGAGACCCAGAGTTTGGCCCACGTCGCAGCCTCGCAGGCAAGTGTTGCAGATCCAGCCGTTCATCAAGGTCCAGACTTGTGGCTAGTTTCCCTGCTTGGGTTATGGCTTATCGTTGAATATTGTGGAGATTTTCATGCAAAGTTCGCGAAAGTGATTTCCGCTGTGTGTCCCTGCGTGATGATGGCCTTGAAGCTCGAAGTACAGAAATGTGTGGATGCTTTTCCTCCATTGTGCAGCCTTTGCTAATGGTTGGAGTACACTGGCCTGCACGCCAGAGCAGCAAGTTTTGCTAGGTCCCCCTAATTCTGGCAGACACATATCTGCACACAACGGTGGTTGATTTTAGCAGCCCTATGGCCTGCAACCTGTAAGCCGATCCTGCAGATGAAGTACGCCACTCAACCATTTCGGGATGCTATGAGCCATGGGCTCCTTACGGGGGAGGTATATCTTCAAGGCTTGCTGGGCAAAAGAAAGTGTCTAACTTTCATGTGCTCTGCACTTTTTTCCCGGATCCGTGGGGCTTTGGGGGGGAGGGTTGTGGGATTGTCCGGGATTGACGGCTTTGGGAAGGATGTGGCCCTCCTCGTCGGAGATGGGAACCAGCGCCTCTTCGAGATGGATCCTAGGCTGTGGAAAATGGTTGTAAAGGCATGTCTGGTGCATGACCTAGACGAGGACAATCTCCAGAAGAGATGTACATCGCAACAGACCGATCGTCCTTACTATGGCGGCCCTTCAGCGGGAACCGCAAGTTGCAAGGTCCAAGGGGTTTCTAGTGAAGCCCTTCACGCCGTGTCAGGCGTTAAGAGTACCTGCAGCGTTCACTGGATGTCTTTTCAAGATTCGTTCAAAGGATTATGTTTTGCTTTTGATTGTGCTGCCTTTAGCAGAACCCTCTTTTCGGCTTTTGGTCTGAAGGAGGTTGCTTTTTGCAGTCGTTCGCTCGGCATATGCTTTCCTCAGGGTTATCATCCCTTTGTTCAGTTTAGATTCTCCACGTCTGAAGGAACGTGGCGACATTACGCTGGACACGCCTCTCTGGGTGGCCTCCTCATCGAAGATGGCTCCTTGGTGGGCATCTGTCTATTGTGGTTACGTCCGGGCTGGATCCGAAAAAGGAGCTTTCTAGATTTTAAAAGTCATTGGGTTCGATTGAAGTAAACCTACGGCCATACCCCAAAAAGGGAAAACACCTTACCAGCTCCGCTGTCATCCTTGGAATTGTGAATATTTTTGGAACCCCAATGTCTGGTGTCTTTGGCCAACTTCCAGCCGTAGAATCGCCTTACCAGATCCGCCATGATCCAAGACATTTGGCCTCGAAACGAACTCATTCAATGCTGCTTGGAATTTGACTGACCGTGTTGGGGAGCAGACTATGGTCTTCACGGCTATATGTAGTACAACATGAACATACTGATGCTACCTCAACCCATGCATTCTGCTACTTCGTCCAAGGTTTTCGTGGTGCGGGCCATGCAGATGATCGCGACTTGGCTGCGTATCATTGCACACCCCTAAAAGGCTAGCACGCTTAAGTCATGATGCCATCTCAGCCCAGAGTTTAAGGGAGTTGCGAACGGTTGTTGTTCTAGATTAGGCAGTTTTTGTAATATGCCCGCCTGGTGAAGGAAGCAGCAGCAGGAGTGTTTGCTCAAGATGTCAACAGCTGAAAGGGACTGCTTTCCTGTTCCACAAGCCGGAAGCTGCACAGCAAGCATTGTGGAGGGATCACTTTTCCAGAGCACCTGAATTCAGTTAAAAGGGTCCCCTGCAGCCTCCTGCAAATGGCCATTTGGCAAACATATCGTTCAACTTTTTGGCACTCCTGCCAAGGAGAAAGGTGTGCTGCAGCTGCACGACCCAGTGAACAAGTATCTTCCCTACTGGACACAAGACTCCAATGACCCTCGTTCACAGGCCTGGTTTGGTTCTCTGGAGCGCTTGTCCCGCTGCATGATTCTAGCCTTTAGGCCTCCGCCCTTAATTGATTTTCTGGTCAGTTTTGGTTGTTAGAAACGGTTTACAATACCCTTTACAGTGATTTTTGTCCGGGTCATATAGGGAAACCAGTTCCATCCAGATCAATACTAATAGTAATGGTAGTAATACTGGTACTTATAATGAAGTACTGTCCGTGTTCCTTTGCATTCCCCTGTGTATTGTTGGGGTTTGCGGTTTTGGGGTTTATGGTGCTGTGTTGAAAGAAGTCCTTCCTCTTGACCCTCATGTCTGCTGTTGCTCCTCTTTTTTCTTTCCGTGCAGAGCTGGACTGGACCCAGTCTTCAAGGTAGTTGCGTTTTTCTGGTCCATTATATAAACACCTTACATTACCCTTTGGAGCGCGGTGTACATCCACTATATGGGTGGTTGTCAAAATTATGGTCCCTTTTTGGGTCCCTATTATAATACGGCCCCTAATATTTAGGGTACCCAAAAAGGGACCATAATTTTGACAGCCACCCATATAATCATACAGCCCCTTTAAAGTGGAGGTTCCCCTTCTTGAAGCCTCTGCATGGAGCCTTAAGTCTTGGGCCCTCAGCCCGATACATGTTTTTTCGGGGCTTGAGGTGCAGATGTGGGGGATTGTCAAAATTATGGTCCCCTTTTGGGTCCCTATTATAATACGGGGCCTAATACGGGGCCTAATTTAGGGGACCCAAAAAGGGACCATAATTTTGACGATCCCCCATGTGAGGTTTTTGCGGTTTAGGGTTCAATAAGATCTAGTGCTCATGTCCCATGCCAAGGCCGTTGAAAAAAGTGCTCATGTCCCCTGGGCCCTGTTTGGGCAGAGTCTGCGGGAGTCGGTGTGCAGAAGGGGTCTAAGTTGCCCTACTTGGAGTTTCAGGTTTCAGGTTTGTGATAACGTTATAAATAACCCAGTTGCGACTGGTACTTATACCAACATATAGCCATGTTGCTTGACTTACGGGGCTCAGGGGGCTCATATGTACATTAGAAGTACCGTTATAGTTGGATTATCTTTACCCTGAACTTCCAAGCAAACCCGGGGCCAGGTCACCTTGTACCACCTGTTGAGCTTCCAGTCTGGCTATACCTTCGGCCTCACAAAGGCAGGGGCTGGTTGGGGCTTGTGCATGAATAGTTTTCAGGGTCTGGCAGACAACCGGCTAGACGGTTTTTGCCAGGGGAAAGCACCAAAAGATTTTGAGAGTTCTGTGTGTCTGGGGTGTTTCAGTTGCGCGGAGTTGCTTGTCGGCAGCATTGTTTGTCCTCCACTGCCTTAGCTCCCCTCAAACCTCATGGCTGCCTATTGCGGTTCTTCCTGCTGAACTAGTGTGAAGGGTAGAGAAGATCATTAAGGAGTTATGACCAGCTTTATACGCTGAGTATAAACTTGTCCTTATCATAAGGGCAGCTATAACTTGGGTACTGCCCCCACTCAGTAACAGTTGGACAGTATTTGATAACATGGCTATATATAGCCCTGAATAGGACCCCTATTACAGACTGTTAATCGGTGGGGGCAGGACCCACCTAAACCCTAAGGCCCTGAGGCCTAAACCCTAAATGGTAGCTTCCATTTTCTTTTCCACCATCCCTATATAACCCCTATGTAGTATCCTAAATCCAACTTATAAGCGTCCTGGACAGGGTACCCCTGATTTTCGGAGAGCCCCAGATGTCGCGGGCACGGCAGGTGGACTCGTGCTGGCTGAAGCCATGGTTGAGACTTGGGCTTTAGGCTTTAGGGTTTAGGGTTTAGGGATTAGGGTTTAGGGTTTGGGCTTAGAGTTTAAGGTTTAGGGTTGAGACTTGGGCTGGTTTGGGGTTTGTCAGCATGTGGGTCTTTCTCCAATAAGGTTTAAGCTCTAGGGGCCCCCAGGCACCCAAGGGACATGACAAGGCAGATTCTTTACCAAACAAAGCAGGTGCGTTTTACGGATTTAAAGGGGTTAATTTCGATCGGGCTAGGGTCGATCCTCGTGTACTCTTGCGATTCCTTGGGTACCCCTATGTTGGGAAGCTCCCAACTGGCTGAGCAGGCTACAGCTGAGTCTTTCTCAGAAGACCGTGTCCGGTATATCCAAAGCAGAACAAAGGCTAACCACACATGGTTGGCGGACATAATTCTCAAGCGGTGCCAAATACAGGTACTCTTGCCATGCCCAGGAATTTCAGCACATGCGTGGAGCGCCTGTACCACTCGCTGCCGCTGCATGCCACACCGGGCACGGTCTGGGACTACAACGAATTCCATAACCAGGTGGGTTTTTTCTCACACGACGTGGTCTTTTTGTGGTTATGAGCACAGAGGGCAACATGGGAGCACTCTCCGAATTACTGGCCGTATGCTGTAGGTTTAGGCTTTCGGTTTACTGTTCAGGACTTACGGCCTGGGTCTCAAATGTTTTTTTGGCGTTGCGGGTGTGAAATAAGGATTCTACATATGCGAACCGCACTGTTGAACAAGAGATTATGCAGGGATTTTAACAAGGTTCGGGGATGTCGCAAAATCACAGGTTCAAGTATCTGAGCATCTTGAGGTATGGAAGCAGACGTGTGATTACAAGAGAGGCAACCCTAAACCCTATATATCCCTATGTACCCCCCAAATATCCCCCATATATCCCCCTATAAACCCCTTTGAAAGGGTACAGGGAGAGGGTGATTGAGGTGTAGGCGCCGTGGCCTCGTCATGAACAATGTTAACCTGATAATGATACTCGAAGGGTCAGGGGGACTTTAGTAAGTAGGTGAATTATGGGCATAAGTAGATTAAGTATATGGTTTATACAGCTTATTAACCTCCTTAGTAAGTCCCCCTGACCCTCCAAGTACCGCCCCTCCCAAGACTTGTCTTGCGACTTTGATCTGCCGGGGCTTATTTGTAGGTTTTCGGGCTCCGAACTTGCTAGAAGGCAACAGTCGTCTTCCGGATTGTTTTTGGCCCGGCTGGAATATTTCATTACCATCCCCTCCAGTAATGCCAGGTAACATTACTTCAGGTCTAGGACTGCTTACCTTCCCTCAAACTAGCCTGGAATTTGAAAGGCGCTTCATGTAAGTGTTCGATGGCTCTGAGATCTTAGAAAGCTAGTGACTTACATTCATTTTTTGCAAGGTGATATTCCTCCATTTTTTGTGGCAAATCAGACATGGCTAAGCCAATCCTCGTACCAGATATTCTTCCATCAATGCTGACATAGCTTGCTACGGACAATGAATACTTACACCGAGTTATCCAGGGCTGTGAGGAAGTGTTTTGTTTCCTGATTTCGCCACTCTCTGGTTGTTTTTGAACGGTCTATGCAACTGGGACAAAGTTTTGAAAGACTTCAATAAGACTTTCTGAGGAGGTGATAACAGATCTAGTGCTGCCCTCCCTCATGCTGTGAACCGTGTGGAGGTGGTTGCGGCAGTTCTGGAGAAGGTGACTTCCACTGATATCCACACGCTCCTGGCAGAGGACCTTCAAGATATAGGTGTGTAGGCCCATGCTTAGTGAGAACATGTCCAGGTCGCTAGCGCGTCCCGGATGACAAAGTCTCCAAATCACTGCTACAAGCTATCGCAACTTAGTTCATTTGTAAAAGTCTGAATAATTACCAAAGTGTTGTCTTACGTTCACTGAATAGTCTTTAGGGCACCCTAAACAGGCCTCAACATTAACCTGGTGAGGCCCATACAGTATCTGCCTCGAACTGGCAACAATCTAGGAACTACTTTGCGTGCAAGCTCAGCAATGTCATGCCAGAGCTTGTCTTGCCACTGTTTACATCTTTTTCTGATGGAGCCCTAAACCTAAAGCGATTCTAAACGGAGAGGAAGGGGAAGTGGACGAAATTGTCTGATCCGCTGCAAGGTCTTGTGCTTGAGAGTTCTGCTTAGAGCTTTGGTTTTCCCATTAGTTGCAACTCTCAGTCAAAGCCCGGAACTGGGAGATGGGCGCAGTAGGAAATTGCCCCATGGATGCAACCTTCCTAAACCCCATCCTCTCAAAATTGGCAAAACTCTGAGTGCCGCCCTGCACTCTAAGCTGAGTACATCCTTCTGGCGCTTCAGTTGCCCCCACACTCCACCCACACCCCAGGATCCAAAGCCAAGCCCTCGACCCAAGGTTTAGGCTTGCCTTAGACCCGAAACCCGAAGAAAACTAGCCAAGCCCTAAACCCTCTACCCTAAACCCTACATAGTAGTTTCCATTTTCATTTCCATTATCCCATATCCCTAATATTACCCCAATGGGTACCTATATCCCCTAAACGCCTAAACCCTAAACCCCTAAACCCTAAACCCTAAACCCTAAACCCTAAACCCTAAACCCCTAAACCCGAAACCCAAAACCCCTAAACCCGAAACCCTAAAGGCTCTAAACCTTTGAAGTGTAGGCAACCTGAGGACTTAGTGTCCTGGAACATGACCCACAGCCGCTACCCGGACCACTTCGGACCTGGGGGTCCCGACGCTTTGCATTTGGGGGTTTCCTAACATAAGGGGTACCATATTGGGGATTTAGGGTTTAGGGTTTAGGGGGTTTCCTAACATAAGGGGTACCATATTGGGGGTCCCCTTAATAAGGACCATAGTATATTGGGGTCCACATTGAGGTCCCCTTATTTAGGGAAACTACCATTTGCCAGGAGGTTAGAAGAATTTGTACAGGGTTTAGGATTTAGGGCTTAGGATTCAAGGTTTAGGGTTTGGGGTTCAGGATTTCGGGTTCAGGGCAGGACTTAGGGTTTCGGGTCTAGGCTTTGGGGTTTGGGATTCCTACAGAAAAACACAATTTCCAGAGATTGCATGCCTTGAGGGCTCATGGTTGAAGGTGTCGACTTAAGGGTTCAGGGCTTGCGGTTGGGAGGATCTTGTTCATGGACAAGTCCTGCTCATCTAGAAGGTCTTGGGCTTATATTAACCCCAGAAAGTAGGGCTGCGTAGTTTATGCCATGAATTGCTGCGCTGAGAAGAGATCGTGGTGGAGTAGAAGTTCCAAAGAAGTTCTCCCTCAACTGGACACTGGCATTTTGAGACATCACCACCAAGTTTCGTAACATACGCCAAAGAAATCCGATTGCCTCGAGACAGGTCTGAGGTGATGAGATAGAGAAAGTATCCCTCAATACCAACACCCGCGCTCAACATCACGTGTTATGAGGGTTCTAATATGGGATGTACACAGGGCGAGCAAGTAAGTAAGGATGTGAGCGCTGACCTGGTCACTACAGCGGTGGACTATGAGCAGTGCCTTGGGCTCGAAAAAAATTGAGCATTCCAAGAACTAGTAGCTCTTCTGCGAAGGTTTCTGGCCTCATAAGTACGAACGGATATGTAGCGTTTGGCGTCGAGGGATCAGGTTCTCCTCTTAAGTGTGTGCATGCACGGACTTTGACTTTCCGAAAACTTCGCATTGCGAGCTGTTGAGCGCGCCTTGCAGGCTACATGGGGCAGCTTGGGCAATCACGAACATGTATCGGGTTTTTTGGGGCTGCAGGACCACTTTGTATACGGGGTGCGTTCTGAGTTGAGATATGCGGGGGGTAGGGAGCACAGCAAAGCACCTAAACCAGCTGCAATCTCTAAGTCATGTAGAACACTTAAGTCAGTCACTTAAGGGACAAAGCCCAGATATATCCTAAGCCCTGTGCCCCCAACCATTCTAAAGCCTTGGACATCAAGCATTGGGTCCAAATTGCAAACTTGACCTGGGTTCAGGGTTGTGAACTCGGGCTCCGGGATCAAGTTATAGCCAGCGGTTTTCACCTATAGTCCCTTGTAGTCAACATGATACGTTAAACCCAACGTTTTGTAACGTGCTTACCTAGATAAGAGTGCTGCCAGGGGCCCAGAAGGCATCTACGCATAAGCCTCGCCAGCTGGCTATTCAAAGTCTTGCTGTCTGTGGTTCTACACCTTGACCCGTAGACTCCATGCTAAACCCTACCAGCTTTTACACCTTCAAACGCAGGTTCATGATGAAGTATTTTGGTGGGCAGCTCCTGAAGAACGAGACAGTGACCATTATGGAGCAGGACCACATGCCCGCAAGGCTGGGTTGATGTGAGCCGAAATGCCCCAAACCCGTGAATGAAGGAAATCAGGTTTCAAGGAATATTCCTTGGAGTTAGTGTGTTCAGGAAACTATTTAGAACCACAAGAGAATGTTCCATACTTGAGAGGTTCTAGGCTCTCTATTAGCAAAGGGTCGTTTGGTTTTGAGACCGGAGTGTTAGCCGTTCTTGCAATAAAGATAGCAGAAAACGGCACGGCACAGTGTATCGGTAGTGCTTGTATGCAAAAGGCATCCTAACCCAAAACCCAAAATCCTGAACACAAGGATATAGTCCCCTTCAAGTAGATAAAATATATGGCTCTGGGTATATTTTAATTCATAAGATCCCCAAGTGCCCCATATTCTTTCTACTGACGGGTACTGTGGGTCGTAAACGCAGCTTAGAAGCTGAGCAAGAAGGCCGAGGCTGAAGACGTAAGCCCAAACGACTACTTTCGGTTTTGACCATTTCGCATTTTAGTATGCAGCTACCCAGAGGCTCCGGCTTCCGATAATTCAGACATTGGTTGTATGGAAGAAAAGCAAAATGCATCTAGAAGTCTGACCGAGTAGCTGCATTTGGCGCCCTCAATATTCTAACATAATTATGCCATAGCATGCTCCAAAACAAGAAGCTGTTGGGTTTGGGGTTTCAGGGCGTATGACCACTGGCGAAGTCGTGTTGTGCGCATGCTCTGTTAAAGCGAGCTGGGGCATCGGTTGCTGTCGAAGCAGGCTTGATGCAAAAGGTTTCTAGGGCTTCGAAGGTGGCAGTCGTCTCTGTTTCCCCAGGCATTGGTTGGCTGCAGGTCAAGTTGGGGCATCTCCGTACGGTGGACCCTTGTTTGTCCAATGGCATCTCTTGCCATGTTCTGGCAGCAGCAGTACTTGACGTCATTGTAGGTCTCGTAGCAGCAGTAGGACGAAGAAGAGGAAGAGGATGAGTAGCCATGGCCCCCTCCTTATGTGCCTATCAGTATTCTGATCCAACCTTCAACCCTACACCCTACACCCTACACCCCTAAACCCTAGACCCCGAAACCCCTAAACCCTGAACCCCTAAACCCCTGAACCTCTAAACCCCTGAACCTCTAAACCCTAAACTCCTAAACCCTAAAAAGGTGCTCACTGCAATCCTTGCCGCTCGTCATCCCCCAGGGCCACTATGGCACCTTAGCGCAAACTGTTTATGGGTAATGTAGACCTGGGGTACTGCCCCCCCAGTAACAGTCTATATTAGGGGTCCTATTAAGGGCTATATATAACCATATTATAAATATTTTCCAACTGTTTCTGAGGAGGGCAGTACCCAATGTAGACCCATGATTAATAAACCCCTCTGGAGTCCTTATATTGGGGTTATATAGGGAATATAGGGGGAATATAGGGATTTATATAGGGATACGCGAAAAGAACATGGAAACTTCTATTTAGGGTTTAGGGATTAGGGACCCATGATTACTAAACCCCTCATAATACATAGGATCCCTAGTATAATCCCTATTAAGGGGAGGGGGTTTATAAATCAGGGGTTTGGGGTAGCTTTGCTATTCCTGATTCTTGTGGGTGTCCCAGGTTCCTTATGCCTACATTTCCATTCTCCCCTATAGTAGTATAGCCCCTATAGTAGTCCCCCTTTTTTAACCCCTATAAACCCATTAGTTACGGGAAACTCCGATGCTGTGTTCTTCTGCTTCCTAACAGCTCCCAGAAGATGCAACTATGCAGGACAAGCTCTCATAGAAAATCAGGTGGCCGCCGCAACTGTCTCTCCAATTACGCCCAGACTGGAAATCCGTAGCCTTTTTTGACCAAGTTGGTGGTTTGAGGCGAGATCCGGCATTCTGAACGGTCGCATGTTCAGCTCTTTTCTCACTTAACTCACCGGATGGGATTGCGATGTGCTGGACGTTGACGTTTCTGTGAGTTTTGGGAAACATGTTTTTGCATCAACATGTTTCTGCATTGAAGAGCCTGAGAACCTCCATTCCTGGCATTTGCAAGGATGGGGAGGAGATCTGTATGTTAATGGTCTGAACTGTGTGGATCCCAAACATGCCGTTGAGTAGCAAGATCCGGAACTGCACACAGAAATCTGAGCAAGACAGGGCACTTGGGTACCCTAAATTCGGGTCCGTGCTTTAGTAGCGACCTTAAGATGTACCAGAGACGTTAAAATGGACCACAATTTGACAATCAACAACATAATTATGCAGTGATATGTACGTTTACTCCCCTTGCCCTTGCGCACCAGTAAGTCATTGCGAGGCATTGGCAACTGGTGGCTCTGTTCGGGTGATTTCGACCCGCTGATCCACCGAACGCAGCTGGGTTTTGACTTCGGGGTTGATGGGCTTAAGGACTTCCGGGCTTGACATTTTGGGTTTAGGGGAATTGGTTTGGGGCTTCGGTTTCAGAGACATGGCATGCCTTTCTGGGGTGCAATGTTCGTTTGGGGAAGTGTAGTTTCTAAATTATCGATAAAACTCTAAGATCCACTACATCATGGCCGGATGACATCATGCAACATGATGACGCCTCATGTCGCATCTTCCTCCATAAGCCCCTTAAGCCCCAAAGGTAAAACCCAAGAACTATGTGGTAGTTTCGCAAAATAGGGGGACCCCAATGTAGACCCCAAAATACTATAATCCTTATTATGGGAACCCCTAAAAAGGGTACCCCTAATTTTAGGAAACCCCCATGTAGTCCACGATTCAGGAAGCTGGAGCCAATGCCAAAGCGATGCGTGGAGGCCGGTCCACGGCATCGGGGTGTGCGGGTCACAGTCGTGGAGACTTCAGTTTTGTGTAGGTTTAGGGGGTTTAGGGTTTAGGGTTTAGGGTGTATGGGCCGTTATGTAGGAATATGGTATAGGCTGCCCTGCAGCACACGCGGACTCTGGAAAGGGAGCCTTCCTTTGCATTGAATGCTTGGCCTTGCCACATGGACTGAAAGAATGAGAGTATGACCATGACCTTGAGGCATTTGCGCGACATTACATACTATATTATATATTGTATATGATATATTATATATTATATACTATACTATATTACATTATAATATACTAGAGACCTGACAGGACTACATGGCTTGCACAGTGTCCGCGTTGTTCGGTTTGTGTTCGTATTGCTGTTCCGCTGTTCGGGCCAGCGCGCTAGAAAGGCCATGCACCACTAGCATCGCTTATCAAGGCACCACTAAAGAACCTTTGTTGACATCCTTTCTGGGTGCCAAGCTCCTCCTAGTCTAGAATCAACAATGGAATTAAACCCTAAACCCTAAACCGCAAACCCTAAACCCTAAACCCTAAAGTACTTGGAATCTAAAATAGTTGGGCCACATTTCAGGCATAGCCAATAAAGGGAGCCAATAGAGATGCCACAGCTACATGATTGCGCAAAAGGCTATTATTAGGTATTCTTAGTCCTTACTCAGTTTTCTGCAGTACGCATGATCTACAGTCTGCAGGCCGAAGCTGGACCAAATCCGGACCCATACTTACAAACAGCATGTAGTTATGTGGAGATCAGATGGGGATGCATGCAGGCTACGTGGCAGTTTCGCAGGATTGTGTCAGAAGCCATGCATCGTTTGTACAAGGCTTCTCAAAAGCCCTCCACCAGAACCCAAGACAGCACAACCTGCTTGGCTGCTTCAGACTCTGAACGCCATAGGCCCAGCTTAATTACATTATATAATGTATGCATGTTTTTTCCGCACGGAACTTTTTTTGTGTCCCTGACAACCGCTAAGTCTGCTGGCAAACCTGGTTAGCGGTTAAAGAACTTTAATGGGAATCTTGTAAAGTATCGTTTCCCTACAACTGTCAGCAGCCCAGAAATTCATTCAAACACATGGGAGTGACTCATGGTGGCACCGACAGAAGGCGCAACAGGGACTCCCATAACGCTCTTATGATTTCTACATGCCGTTCACGTCCCCAAACCCTAAAGCCCTAAAACCTAAATCCTGACCCCCGGACCCCTAGCCCTAATCCCTAAGCCGTGCAGGCACAAGTCCACTCTGACCAGGGCCTTTTCGGCTTCTGGCCTGTTTGGGATCGCCGTCTGGGCTGCCTGGCTGTTTTGGGACAGTTTTTGCAGGCGGTTTTACAGGAGGATTCGGGACCTAAACCCTAAACCCTAGGATTTAGGGCCTGGCTCAGGTGGCGCTCTGGTGGCTTATGGATCAAGAGTTTTGGGGATTGCTTTTGGGGCGTAGGTTTAAGCCTACTAGCTGCCTTGGTTTGGCGGCTGTTTGATTGATGGGAAACCTGACTTTGGGTGGAGGGGTTTAGTGCACAGGACTTTGTGTACAGGTTGGGCTTAGGCTTGGGATGTAACGGCTTAGGCTTGGGTGTATAGTGAAGAGAAAACGGTTTGCGTGTGCTGGCAGCTGACTCGAGTTCCTTGACAGCAACCCACTTAAGGGATTAGGATGGAAGCTTTCGGTCCATAGCCTGAGGCTTTGGGCCAGACGCTAGCCGCTGTACTTGGGAAAGGTCTTTGGGCTTAGGGTGTAGGGCTACTTGTAATACATCAATGGTGTTGAATTGAAGTAAGGTAAATCAGGAGGGTGCAAGACAAGGGGCACACTTCTAAGGGTAAACATCCAGAAGGCGCAATTCTCCAAGATGTGGTAAGCCCAAATTGATGAACCACAACACAAGAATAGTATAGTAGTGATTCTGTGCTAGTCTTCGCACTTGTGGCATTTGCTATGGTGATCCTATCGTGCCTTTGTTCGTAGCGATGAACCCCTTGTGTGTTTTCGGTCGTGCCAGCGACCATGACCGCTGCTATCGGATAAGCCTGGGTTGCACGGTTGCACAAGTCCTAAATCCCAAAGACCTCAGATTTCAATTCCAGGCTACTGGATGCTGCTGGCAGCACAAGGGCTGCCCTTACTCTCTGACATGAAGGCGGCTGATGATTGTACTGCCGTGGAGTTCAGGACGCCTGCGCTAGGTAGGTCAAAAATGTTGTTTTGCGAGATGTAGACTCTGATGGAGGGAAAGGCGTTTGGTGATTGCACAGCACAAAGCCGTCTGAACCCCTGCTTCCACTGGGGTACTGCATGATCAGGACAGGGTTCGTGTTAAAAGGATCGGGTTCGCAAGATGGGACCTGTGGTTCAGTGGATGAGACATGCTGCACAAGCTTGCAATCCTCCTACAATTACATGACTGTAGTGTGCAAGCCTGAGAGAAGACCTAGAACTACTCTACAATGTCCAGAATTCCCCAAAGCATGTCACCCGAAAATTTGACATGCTGCGTTGCAAAAAAGCTGCATGTTTTGAGTGTGCTGACAAGAGCGGCTATCGCATGTTTGGGGGAGACAGTAAAGGACCCCTCAAACCTCCCCAACCTCAAACAAAGACTTTCAACCCTAAACCCACACCCCAAGCCCTAATTAGACCCTAGCCGCTAGACCTTAAAACCTGAATCCTAAATCCTGCTTTAAACCCGTGGCCTCGGAACCTAATCCCTAAAGCCAAGAACAGGCCGAACTTCTCCAAACCGTGTTGAAGCCCTTCATAGACAAGGCGCTTCTTCAACATCATAGGGATGGTTTAGGGTGAAAATTCATTGGAAACTAGATTCGTATAGGGATTATAGAGGGTTATGTCGGGGAAAGGAAGAGAAAGTGGACAATGCTTTTCTATATTGGGGGGTTTGAAAGCGACCATGCTAGGAATCCATCCTTCATTCCTTGCTCTCCAGAGGTAAGGAAAGAAGTCCGCTGCGATGATGCATGTTCTGGAGCTTTCTGTGCACGGAATAGCATCAAATACACGCACCCGATCTAGCATGTATCCCTAAAGCATAAGCCTCGTGGTTGCTCACCTTGTAGCCGGAGTAGAACAGCCAGCCGGACATGGTTGTCAGAAACCTTTTCGGGTCCAGATTAAGAACATTACTTTAGTGTACCCAAAATGGGGCCATAGTTCAAACAAAAATACCGTATGGGCCACGTGAGATGTTGGGAGTACAAGTTTCTGCCTCAGGCGGTGCAGGAGCAACGTGGCGCAAAGTTGCCGGAGCTGCCCCTGCCTGATTGGGGCCGCCTTGCAGCGAAGGCAAAGGTACAGACGCTGCCAACCATGGTAGTTTAGGGCGTAGTGCGCCAACTATGGTAGTGTAGGGCTTACTGTTACGGATTTTGGGCCGAGATCCCTGGGCTCGGGGACTTGCGATGGGCAAGGACTTCTAACTAGGCACGGGCTGTGGCAGAAGCTGGGATTCGGCGCTTCTGGCGAAGGGTCCTGCGGCTTGGGGCTCTCGGCCGCAGATACAGGGCAGTCCTTGAAGTGACCGACTGCGGAAGATAGGGGAAAACGTCGTGCGCGCGTGGGGGTGTGTCTCAAAAGGAAGGCGTTGAATTTTGTAACAGGCCTCTCACAGGGAGAACTACTCACCCACATTCAGAAACACAGACAATATGTTTACTCACGCAGTAAAAGATACAGGCACATGCATATACGTATATACATTACATAACATGTGTGGTGGTGGTGGTGGTGGTGGTGGTGGTGGTGGTGGTGGTGGTGGTGGTGGTGGTGGTGGTGGTGGTGGGGGCGGCGGCGGTGGTGGTGGTGGTGGCGGCGGCGGCGGCAGCGGCAGCAGCGTCGGTGGCCGTGGTGGTGGTGGTGGTGCCCTCCTGGTGTCGGCTGATGGCATGATCCAGTTCTAGATGTTACACCCAATGTCAGCGTTTCAGAGTTCCACTTCCATACTGGATTGATGTGAAAAGTAGGCGATGATTATGACTGTCAGGAGCATCTTGAGCATAGTCATAGTCCTGACTGTAGCGATAAAATGGTATACCGTTCTCTGCTGGTAGTCCCTTGTTAGAATTCAATGCGGGTCCGGAAGTTCATTATCTGCTAGACAGGAAACTTCGAAGAAACCACCTGGTTGTAGCTCGAAGGCTGCCAGTACAAACTATGTCACCCTAGGTGTTCAGCAGCAGAAGCTCTAAAACCTAGACCCCCAAATCGGTGTGACGGAGGGGCTTGACTGGGCCGCTCCCCCACTCGACAGCTGGTCAGCAAGAGAGGGGAGGGGTTAAAGAGTTACCAGCGGGTACGCTCCAAGTTTGTTGAGGGGAGTGTCATTCCCTTTACGGTAACTGTCCTTTTAAAGGGTTTCATCGGAGTCATAGTACGTCCTGTTACCTAGTGGGGTAACGGCTGCTGTAAGGGAGAATAACCCTAATGTCTAGGGTTTAGGATTTGGGGTTCAGATCCCGTCACCGACATCTCCCAGATCTGTGCGAAGAAACTAAGCCCCTGACCCGAAGCTCTAAACGGCTGGCTGAACGTCTGCTGAGGTTTCATCTTTCCTCTGAGCAAGCGCCCAGGTCTATGTCAGTAGTGGTTTTGAGAAGGCTCCAGTAACTTCATGTTGCAGTCAAATCAATGGGCAAATCTGCAAGTGCTGGCACCTGACAGTGAGGCACTCCGCATCCAAAAGAGATGGCTCACGACTCATGTGCTTGGAGTTTGTGCCGAAAAGGGTTTAGAGTTTGCGGAAGACACAGATTTCCTGCGATTAGTCAACGCCTCCGATATCATGGTCTGCACTGAGCAATGCTAGTGTTCCTCCAGCTGGTGTTCACGCAAGTTTCCTGATAAGGCTTGAGGCTGGCTACTGTCAATACCACAATGGCAGGCATGGGTTCAAAGTTGGTTTACAAGCGTCATCGTATTGGTCATGCGACTGCCCTCAGGAATCAGGAACAGGCTACTCAAATTTCGAGTCGTCTGCATGTTTGAGCTCATGCTTCCAACCCTCAGCTGTCAAATGGAATTGTGCAAGCCGCGCGTGCCAGCAGCAGAGGTACGAGGTTTGGGTTCGTATCATTCTCGCAACTTCTACCCCCACATCCAACAACTCTTAAAATCCATAGAGCAATACGCAGCCCCGACGAGAGACAGGCTTCATCTGTAAAGTGTAGTCCTGATGTTTTCAAGTGCAAAGCCTAAGCTGTAAGTTCCAAATCCTACTACGTCAAGGTTGCCAAAAAAATGATGGTCTCCGGCTATAGCTGGATGAAAACACACGCCGTGCAGTCGCCAAGCATTTTGAGTAAAGTCCAGCCAGGCATACGCCCTGAGTTCGAGCATTTCTTGGATTGATGGGGGTTTCCGCAAACAAGGGGCCTGAATATGGGCCACAATACATTATAAATTATAACCCTGATTAAAGGTACCCCCCAAGAAGATTCCAAATTTTCGGAAATCCTGACCCTAATACGTTCCTATACACCACTGGTACATCCCTTCAGAACATCACCCCTATACATTCCCACGTAATCTCTACATCCCCTTCAAAGCCACTTTGTACGTGCCTTCATACTTTCGCCTTGTGGTACTAGCCTTGTGCCATGGTACCCGACCTATAAGACCGTTACAGGAGGGGAGTTCCCATGCAGGCGCCTTACATCAGCCTCAAATGCTGCAGATGCAGCTCTTTGTGGTCTATGTGCATATTCCTCTTACACATATATATGTATATACATATTGTTCTCTTTTTTTGATGCATTTTGTTTTGGCAAATGGCCTTAAGCCCTATGCCCTAGACCCTTCACCTTAAGCCCCTAAACCCTGAAACCCAAACCTCAACCCCAGATCTGCTGCCCTCGCACACGGACGCGGAGAAAAAGTTTCTGCCCCGCCGGGAACAGGAAATAATCACCTGCCCCTCCCCTTGGTATATAACGGTATTATAATAAGAGTATTCATATTTCAGGGGTGTTCTTTCTTGAGGGAAGGGGAACAGCGGGAATAGGCTGTGCCAACCTTATGCTTCCTGTTTGCGGGGGTTTCTTCGTTTTGATGGACTCCGCCATTCTGTTGCTTTTCGGCCTTATCTTTTGGCACACAGGAAACAAGATGAAGTCTTGCAATTGAGAGGAGGATTGTGCATAAGCGGCATGGGTGCTGCCATGGCACTCCCACTGATAGCGTTTCGGTCGTATATCATGGTCTTGGGAGTTTAGGCCGAAAGCTTATAGTGCTCTGTTGTCTCACGTGTATGCAGCAGGGTTTGGGATGGAATAGTGAGGCTCCTCGATTGCCCTTGTCTGAATGCCGGGGTTGGAAATAAGCCAAAAGCATGTAATAGAATAGATAGTTGTGAGAATTAATCATGCGTGTGTCTTTGTGGGACACCCAAGCCTGAGCCCCGGCTTCTTGTAAATGTTCCTCCTTTTAGAGAGTGCAGTAGGGTCTAGGGACCGGGGTTTACCCTGCATTTTCTCGACAGCCCTCCACCTTCCAGCTTCACAACCCTGAAAAAACATCCTCCGCTTAGGGCATTTCTTCATTGCTTGCTCAGCGCGACTGACATACAAACAAGTTCTCAAGCCAGTACAAGTGAAGTACATGCATTGTAAGGCTTGCTTCTCCTGCCATGCGTCTTCTCGTAGTACCAGAATCGCTACCCCCTTCCAGAACCTCATGTAGCTTCTTTGAGAAGCCCGTAGGGGTTTCCATGCTAGTTACTGCTAGTTCGGGAGCATAGCTAGTGGATCAAAATCAAGCGCTTTTACAACTCGACAGCCCGGTGCCAGGAAGATGACGAGCCCGAAGAGAAGGTTCTGCGGTGTTGCCAGATGTGGGTGCCGAAGTTATGGGCCCTTTTTCTGGTCCTTCCAGGATCATATTATCATATCATTTTGGGAGGCATAGCGGGACCTGGAGCCAACAATTGAACTACCAGAGTTCCTTCTGTGGTTTGGGTAGAGGGCTTAGTGATTGTCAGTACGAACGCGCCTGTGAGTGTGAGTGAGTGCACGAGTGAGTGAGTGCATGAGTGAGTGAGTGAGTGAGCGAGTAAGTGATTGAGTATGGAACAGAAGCTGTGAGGGTAATCTGAGCACAGCCCCCAACAATTTTTGACATGGAACAGTTTCAGTCATGCGTTGTTCTAGCTGATCCGGTCCAGGAAAAACGGGCGCGCAGGTAGCTTTGAAAACTTCGGGGTACTACGCTCCATGCTAAAAACGTCTTTGCAGTCCTGAGTTTGGGGATTATGGAATAGTCTCAGAAGGACTTGCAGGATGTTTTGGGATCAACAATTGTTAATTGTTGCTGTATCTGGAAGGGTGCAAAGTCGGGATGGCTGTAGCAAATTTGTTCCCAGGCGCACCGACAACTGTCTGCCTTTGCACTGAATGCCCTCAGCTCTAGACCCTTAGCGGTCGAACTACACCCAGGAAGCTTCAATCTCATCTCTGCAAACCTCCATGTGAACAGGGCGACGATTACTCCGAGAAGTGGCAGGGACCTCGTTTTCTCATGCGAAGGTGTGATTGCCTTATCATCTCTTTCTTTCATCACCATTCACAGGGCGGCTGCTGTGCCGACAGCGGACAAAGCAGGGCTGTGATTGTGGCTATTTTTGGCGCTGCCATTATGGTCCTTAGGGTTTAGGGACTTAGCAAGTAGGTTAATACTGGAAAAGAAAATGGAAACTAGTATATATCATCTAGGGTGTAGGGTTTAGGGTTTCGAAGTGTTGAAGCTTCTTAGTCTTTGTCAAACAGTCCATGAACTTGAGAGCCACAAGGAGACCTGGCCAAAATCCAGGTCGCAGCATAGAAGTCTTTCGTCTTGTGGTTAAGAGCCAAAGGTGCTGAAGACATACCTTGAGCCTATTGCGTTTGGGTTGGACAACTTCCACATCTGGTAGTTTCCATAAATAGGGGGACCCCAATATAGACTCCTGAAACTGTTATCCTTACCTTACTCTAGGGACCACCCAAAAGGTACCCTGTGTTTTGGGAAACCCCCACCATCTGGCAAGAAAGGTGGCAGCAGCGGCTTTGGTGGTTGCACCCTAAACCCTAAACTGCAACAGCAACGTGTGAGGCCGTATCGCCACTAATCACAGAACAATCTGGTTTGCTGTTAAGGAGTTTAAAGTATATCGCCATGATATGGGTATATGGGGTTTGAGGTTAAGGGTTAAGGGTTAAGGGTTCAGGTTTAAGTTACCATATTGAGGGCCTATAGTATAGCAGATAGCTGGTTTCCTTATTATACTTAGCTTGCTTGAAGTTCCTCAGCAGTAAGCCAGCAATAGAGACTTCAGGAGTGTCAGCCAGGTG